AATTTGTTCTGCTGGAATAAAGTCTTACCTTTCCTTTTAAAAATGCTTTAATGAAGCAATATTAGCTTCAATTCACGAATGTCAATAGCTCTATATTCCTACGTTCCTAACTTAACCAGACCAGACAAAAGCCATGGAAAAGGCCTCTGCAGTTGAGAAGGCAAGCTCTCTGCCGGGCGGGCTACCATTCTGTGGTTAATCAATTTGCCCCAAAGATGTAGACCAGCTCATACCTTTACTCTTCAAGTTTATGAAATATCAGTATAAAGCACAGTACAGGTACTTAATTTCACTGTATAAGAACAGCAAAGCACCAGGTACTCTTTTGTTAAAAACAGAATACTTTCATTAACTAAAAAATTATTAGGAGTAATTATATTTTTGGGCAGGTCAAATTAGTTCCTCCATGATGTGCATAGCATGGCCACACTGATAACTTCAAAGAGGACAAGTTGGAACATGTACATTTAATTACTTATAGTTATGGCTTATCATATTATTCTGTTTTCTAATTCTTGGTTCTCGAAACAATTTGGTAGTCAATTACTTATTCTCAGTTGTTGTGCAAAATATGGGCTATCAATCCTGCCACTGGCAGATTGAAGGGAAGCAAAGGTGGAAAATCAAGGCCAGCCACATCTTTGGGTGAGCTACCCAAAGTACAAGGATGTAAAGGAAATGTCATAACAGGCCAGGGCAGCATTAAATTATGATGACGTTTTGCTTAGTGCATAGATCAAGCAGGTGCATACCAACTTAGATAAATACTTCCCTGTAAAGACAAATGTGCAACATGTGTGACCAGACTCCTTTTATTTGTTTTCTGAATTCATCATCTTGATGCATTCTGTAATTGATAACCATATTAACAGAAGATATCAAAAGAAGTGGCCAATGAGCTTAAAAAAAATAGTCTGCCAGGCGCTTTACGCTAAATGCTTGACAAGAGGTCAGAAGAGCAAGATATACAAAAGCATTAATGATATCAATGAGTGTTCCAATGATCCCTGTGTAAACAATGGTACCGTATTTATCCGTGTATAGAGGTTTTGCACAGCAGCCACGTTGGATGGCAGGAACAATTGATTATTTTACCCATGTGGAAAAATTTCTTTCTCATGCAAAATATTTTCATTGTTACTGCCATCCAACATGGCGCTGTGAAAACCTCTATAAGTCGACCCCCATTTTCAAGGTCAAAAATTGGATTTTTCATAATTTATAGTAAAGAAAAATTCAGACCGATAGAATTTTCCCAAATGGCTGACCTCTTATTTCTGAAAATGTATTGATATCACGGTTAAATACAAAAAAAACCTGCAGAGCAAATGTAACCGTGTGCTGTGAAGTTTAGTAGCACTCGTTTACATCACCACGATTCACAATCAGTAAGCATATACGAGCACTTCGATTTACTGGAGAGGTAATTTACCTTATTGTTTTCTCAGTTCGTGAGCGGGCGGTATTCTACAAATCCTGCAA